GAACTATTGTGGACTATCATGTATTATATCTATGAATGAGACAAGTACAGAAAAGCAGAGGGCTCTCTTTCTACCCTCCGGCTTCTGCCAGCTGGAAAAACAACAGACCATATCACTCTAAAAAAAATAACATGAAAGGTAACGTAAGATTTTTACTAAGTTACAGTTAAATATTTTACAACGACGTCAGAATACAAGTTCGTTCTGCAAACTGCGCCTCTGTACCAAAGAAATTATTTTCCTTGTTAACCCTCATGGATATTAAACGTATTTCGTTAACATAACAGGGGAAAAGAATATGAATGAGCTAAACAATGAGTACTGGACGTGATGTGAGCTGGCAAGTCATGTGTAGCCTTGTGATTTTGCTCTGCCCTTGACAGGAGGGATATTTGGGTGAGCAATATTCTAGCCACTACCATCCACAGGATGGATATGAGGTACACAATAAACTAGCCACTACCTTCCACAGGATGGATATGAGGTACACAATAAACTAGCCACTACCATCCACAGGATGGATATGAGGTACACAGTAAACTAGCCACTACCATCCACAGGATGGATATGAGGTACACAATAAACTAGCCACTACCATCCACAGGATGGATATGAGGTACACAGTAAACTAGCCACTACCATCCACAGGATGGATATGAGGTACACAATAAACTAGCCACTACCATCCACAGGATGGATATGAGGTACACAGTAAACTAGCCACTACCATCCACAGGATGGATATGAGGTACACAATAAACTAGCCACTACCATCCACAGGATGGATATGAGGTACACAATAAACTAGCCACCACCATTCCACAGGATGGATATGAGGTACACAATAAACTAGCCACCACCATCCACAGGATGGATATGAGGTACACAGTAAACTAGCCACTACCATCCACAGGATGGATATGAGGTACACATAAACTAGCCACTACCATCCACAGGATGGATATGGTATATACTAGTCAACCTCACAGTGGTATAGGTCACAATAAACTAGCCACTACGCTTCCCCGATGGATATATGGTGTTACGCAAGTTAAACTACACTACCACAACAGTGGATATATACAACATAAACTACCACTACCATTCGGACTATATATGTACACAGTTAAATACCCCTGACCATCAATGGTATAGTACACAGTCTAGGTACTCCATGCACAGATTTGTCACAAAGAACTAATACCATCCACAGAGCTCGTATGAGGACACAGCTGGACTATCAAAGATTTGTCAAGTTACCAACCACCACAGGATGGATTTTGGGTAACAGTCTTAGCATACTCCCAATGAATAGTCCAAACTGTTACTCACATAATTACTTTGGATATGCACAATCCACGATGGTTGATGTACACAATAACTGTCACTACATACAATTTGGTGGTACTAATAAACTAGCCTACCTCCACAGGATGGATTGAGGTACAATTAAAATAGCACGACCTTCGCACCGGATGGATATGAGTACACATAAATGCCACTACCTTCCACAGGATGGTTGAGGTACACAATAAATAGCCACAACCATCACAGGTATGGATATGAGGTACACAGTAAACGAGCCACTACCATCCACAGGATGGATATGAGGTACACAATAAACTAGCCACTACCATCCACAGGATGGATATGAGGTACACAATAAACTAGCCACTACCTTCCACAGGATGGATATGAGGTACACAATAAACTAGCCACTACCATCCACAGGATGGATATGGATATACTGTTAACCTCATCAGTGGTAAAGCCTAATCCAACCACTACAGCTTTCACGAGGATCATTATCTGGTGTTATCTTTGTCAAGGTTTACCTCTTTTTCCCACAACGTGGTTACAAAAATAATATTTATCCATGACCATCTTTGGACCTTTAACTATGTAACACGATTGAATTCATGAGTTCAATGTTATGACTTCTGTGGTATATGCCATGCAAACTTTCTCACAAAGAACTATTTTCTTCAAAAGAGCCTCGTTGAGGAACAAGCTGGAGTTTCAAGATTCCCTTGTCATGAGTTCCAACCCCACGAGTATCGGATTCTGTTTGTAATCGTCTTATTGCGATTCCATGAGTCAAACTGGTGTTCCATATTACTTGTGGAATGCAATACCGATGTGTTGATGTACGAGGCACATGTGCAACACTTGGGTATCTTTAATGCTGAAGCGTTTCGCCTCTACGATAGTCTTCAGTCGAATGTAAGCGAATACAACACCGGACGCAGGAGTAGTTTTGACGTGATCAGTTCATCAGCCTTGATAAGAGGTGTTGAACCTTAGTGTTGCACAGGTAGCTTAGTGTTGCACAGGTAGCTTAGTGTTGCACATGTAGCTTAGTGTTGCACATGTCTCTTGTCCATCAGACTGATACTGGGACACTATCTCTCTCTGAACCTTAAGTAAACCAATGCAACATTTGGATCAATTTGGCTTCCTAAAATTTCGAGTTATTCTGTCCATGGACACTAATGTCTTCGAAGACCCAATATTTTTTTATGCATTATCTTCACCAGCTTGGCCAGTAATATATATTTTTTTGGCCATAATCAATTTTGAATCACTAAAACATCACAAAAACATCAATAATCGAAAGCTACGTGATTGTAGCCAAACTCAGAAACACAGAAACGTGGCGAAAAACTAGGCGCTTGTCTCACCTGCCTGACCTGTAGTCTGTTCGGGGTCTCTTGGTAAACTTCCCCTGTGTTCAGGTCTCTTGGTAGCCTTCCCCTGTGTTCAGGTCTCTTGGTAGCCTTCCCCTGTGTTCAGGTCTCTTGGTAGCCTTCCCCTGTGTTCAGGTCTCTTGGTAACCTTCCCCTCTGTGTAGGTCTCTTGGTAACCTTCCCCTGTTTCACTGTAACTCCCAGTTACCATTACCTGTTCCCCTGATGTATGTTCTCTTAATTCTTACATTATCTCTAAATAAGGATAAGCGATTCCCCTCTTATAAGACACCCTTTGATGAGTCTTTAATACATGTACACACTGGGGTATCTCTATTTCTCGTAAACTACCCAAGTGTTGCACTGTCGTTTACTATACCATGGCAACTTGATGCCTTGTTTGACATGTATGTTAATCAGATAACAGATTCCATCTTAAGTACGTGAGAGCTATAATGGTACAACACCTGGGTATCTCTATTTCTCAGTAAAGATACCCAAGTGTTGCAACTTGTCGGTATTCTATACCATGGCAACTTGATGCTTGTTTGACATGCTGTGTATATCAGAAATAATATTTGCCACAGTACGGAGCGTAAGGGACACCATTCACCATGTTCATAAATTCTGACACCTCTTCCTGTGACAACATAGGCTATATACACCGAAAGGTTTATTTTTTTGGTCAGCGTATATATGCCGAGCATTTATTTTGATTTCTGTTATGTCTGGTGGTGAGCAGGTTACTCGCAGCCCTTTACCAGGCCTGGTGAAGGGTAATCACCCCTTTACCAAGAGTGGAAAAGGGTAATTACCCCTCTCCAGGCTTGGTAAAGGGTTTAATGACCCTCGTGCAGTCCATGGGCGATTCAGCTAAATTGCCCAACCAGCCGAATCATCGTTGTCACCTCACACGTCAACGTTTCTTGATTCAGTGAAGTAATTTTCCCGTTATTCCTACCTGCTCTTCCAGTTTGTGGGAAAAGGTGTCAAATATATTTTTACCTTGAGAAAAATGCTGCTATGTCCTTCTCGGTGTTTCTCTCAGTCTGACTCTTCACCCTTGCATTCTCGGTTCTGATTAATCTCTCACTTCTCAGTTCTGTCTGTCCTTCAGTTATTCCACGCCTTTATTCGTTTTTATTGCCTGCATCTCTGACTGAACCGAAGGTTCTCTTTCGATTTATTGTTTATCCGTCTTCTAGGTGTGAAGTTCTTGTCTTCTTCCTGGTACTGTCCAGCTAAGTGCTTGTCATTTTACCTTCTTGATCTACCTCATATTGTAAATATTCTGAAATTCGTTAATTCTTTCAAGATTCCCTCTCCTGGAGTTCGGTTCCACTCTTCTTTACCTGCCATTCTTTCCTCTACGTTTAGTGTTTGTGTGCTCACCTATATGTGGTTGCAGGGGTCGAGTTATAGCTTCTGGCCCCGCCTCTTCGTTAGTCGCCATTAAGTTCACTCTTTCCCCGCTCCAAGAGCCTTATCGTACCTCTCGTAAAGTTGTATGTGTGTGTGTACTCATTTATATGTGGTGTTTAACCTGTCTTAATAGATGTGGATCTTAAAAGACATACTGTTCAATCCCTCCCCTCCTTATATCCCAATAAATCCTCAGTGTATTCTCACAGGTACCTTGTGTATGTGTTCCAGCACCTACCAATCCGTCCTAGGTGCCACTTCTTGCCGCTGCACCAGTCGTAAGTACCATGATCAACAAGCTATTGGGTTAAACTCTACCACTGAAAACCTTCCCATCAACAACCTGTTCTTTCCTTATCCCCAGTTCCTCATTTACCCCACAACGCTCTTACTTTAACTCTCTTGATCTATATGTGGTTGCAGGGGTCGGACTCACAGCTCCTGACCCCGCCTCTTCGCTATCATTATTAGGTCCATTCTCTCCCTCCTCCAAGATCCTTATCGTACCTCTTCTGAAGCTGTGTGTGTGTGCGTACTGGTAACACTCTGCTGACACAATTCATTGCATATCATCATACAACTTACCCATCAACCCACAGTTGCAGCAGTTGCAGCCCAGGGCAAGGCTCCAGCCATCCTACAAGAGAACAAGGACGGGTGTGGCTAATTTTTTACACGACCACCGCTGCTGCCTCGGGGAATCTGCACCTGAGACACCAAAAAAAAAAATCTTTTTCTGACAAAAAAAAATAAAATTTTTGAGAATGGTTTAATTACAATTTAACAAATAGTATATATTCGAAAAATAGAATTTTATGTATAGAATATGATCGTAGAAGCGACAACAGGTACTTAAGATGTCCTGGCGGTGTGATAGAGAAAAGACGGCAACCTCTGTGTATAAGGCGAGATATTTGTGTGACGTCACAGCTGGGATGGGTATATAAGGAGGGTTGATGCTGCAGTCTGCCACAGGTCAGCTATTAGAGTCGCACCAGCAACATCCTCTCCAGCAACATGAAGATTTTCGTAAGTTAAAAGTGCCCCGTCTAGAAATGATATTCTCACTTAATATTTTAAACAGTCAATGGTCCAAATCGGACCGAAACGTCGTCCTAAGTTCCTCTCTCTTATGTGTGCGGGTTTGAGGAGGACCTGCCTAGCATGGGCCAGTAGGCCTGCTGCAGTGCTCCTCCTTTCTTATGGTCTTTGTGTGTTTAGTATTCTAAGTGCGTGTGAGGGGTCAGGAGCAAGCAGTAGTGGGGGATCGAACCTCCGTCCTCTGTATACCACTGAAGACACGCTCTTCTCAGAGTCAGAACTACCCATCCGAGTTTAGCTCTTCACGAACGATAAAACAACACTGAATAGTAATTAAATGTTCACTTAAAATATTTCATTAGTTCTGTTATACCTATAACGAAAACTTGACGGAATGTGTATATATAAACTGTGAAGTGTATCTCTCAGTGTATATACATTGTTAGACGGGTATCTCTCAATGTATATATACCGTGAGGTGTGTATTTCTCGGTGTATATACATTGTAAGATGTGTATCTTACAATGTATATACCGTGAGGTATCTCTCATGTATATAATATTTATAGTCACATATGAAAGATGGGGTGGTCAGAAAAACAGAATATTCAAACAGATTCAAGGAGAAATCTCAATATTTATCCTTGAAGTGTTTTAAACAAACCATACCACGGGTGGGGTTTGAATCCGCGATCAGAAAATCATAAAACTCCAGACCGACGCGTTAGCCACTGGACCACCCGGCTACAATAAGATTCACCCAACTAGGTATATTTATACACCATAGGAAGGTTAGCATAGGCCACCACTGTGACCATATGTCGTCTGTTTCTGTTGCAGATTCTCCTTGTGGTGATTGGTGTGGTGTCAGCCCAGCTTGGTGCTGGCCAGGTGGGAGGTGCTGCTCCAGCCCAGGGTGCTGGAGGTGCTGCTGGTGTTGGTGGTCCTGGGGCAGCTCCTGTAAACCCCTACGGACCTAAAGTGTATGGTTCTGGCCTCAACAATCCCTTCGCCTTCCCTCACAACACGTGGGAAGTGAGTCGTGCTGCGGCGGTGGCAGCTACCAACCCCAACCTCTATGTGGTAAGTTGGAAAAGGACAAACAAATGTAAATATTAGGACTGGCATCGTCCTCACTTAAGATTTATCTCTACGTGGTAAGCTCCGTCAATCCCCAGTTTCATTTCTTCCTAAAATGGAGTTGCGGTGATGCTAACAAAGTTCCTTTGAGCCATAATGAGACTAAACTGATGCTAACAAGGGGCTCTTGAACCACAGTGGGTTTTCCCTGACGCTAACAAGGGGACCTTGAACCACAATGGGGCTTCCCTGACGCTAACAAGGGGCACTTGAACGACAGTGGGGCTTCCCTGACGCTAACAAGGGGCACTTGAACGACAGTGGGGCTTCCCTGACGCTAACAAGGGGCACATGAACCACAAACGGGCTTTCCTGATGATAACAAGGAGCCCTTAAACAAAAAAATAAAGGAGCCCGTCTCTCCTTCTGCTCATACTTCATTTTCTTTGATTCCCAGACACTGTCCGACCTCTCTTACCTTAGTGCTAATTCACCTTGATCATCAGTAATGTAAAACAATAACAATCCTTCTCTTAATCTGTCATGTTCATTGCCTCACAAAAATTATTTATTTAAGAGGTTATTTTAATAAATAATAATAATAATAATAATAATAATAATAATAATAATAATAATAATAAATATATGTGGAGGAGAGTAAAGACTCACAGTTTTTTAAGTTACTTGGTAGACTAGTTACTTGGTAGTTACTTGGTAGTTACTTGGTTACTAGTTACTTGGTAGTTACTTGGTAGACTAGTTAAGTTTATATATTAATGGTATACAGTACCTGTGAGTTGATAAGAAACATGTGCAACACTTGGGTGTCTTTGTGGAGACGTTTCGCCCAACAGTGGCTTCATCAGTCCAATATTTTCTATCTGCCAAGTTGAGGGAATGATTATCTCTGACTGCCTCTTAATTATTTCTTCCTCTCCCTGTGTTCTTCTCTATAATGGGCTGATAAATCCCCCAGTGTTCTTCTCTGTAATAGGCTGATAAATCCCCCAGTATTCTTCTCTGTAATGGGCTGATAAATCCCCCAGTATTCTTCTCTGTAATGGGATGATAAATCCCCCAGTATTCTTCTCTGTAATGGGCTGATAAATCCCCCAGTATTCTTCTCTGTAATGGGCTGATAAATCCCCCAGTATTCTTCTCTGTAATGGGCTGATAAATCCCCCAGTGTTCTTCTCTGTAATGGGCTGATAAATCCCCCAGTGTTCTTCTCTGTAATGGGCTGATAAATCCCCCAGTGTTCTTCTCTGTAATGGGCTGATAAATCCCCCAGTGTTCTTCTCTGTAATGGGCTGATAAATCCCCAGTGTTCTTCTCTGTAATGGGCTGATAAATCCCCCAGTATTCTTCTCTGTAATGGGCTGATAAATCCCCCAGTATTCTTCTCTGTAATGGGCTGATAACCCCCCCAGCATTTTTCTCTGTAATAGGCTGATAAACCACCCAGTATTCTTCTCTGTAATAGGCTGATAAACCACCCAGTATTCTTCTCTGTAATAGGCTGATAAACCACCCAGTATTCTTCTCTGTAATAGGCTGATAAACCACCCAGTATTCTTCTCTGTAATAGGCTGATAAAGCACCCAGTATTCTTCTCTGTAATAGGCTGATAAACCACCCAGTATTCTTCTCTGTAATAGGCTGATAAACCACCCAGTATTCTTCTCTGTAATGGGCTGATAAACCACCCAGTATTCTTCTCTGTAATAGGCTGATAAACCACCCAGTATTCTTCTCTGTAATAGGCTGATAAACCACCCAGTATTCTTCTCTGTAATAGGCTGATAAACCACCCAGTATTCTTCTCTGTAATAGGCTGATAAACCACCCAGTATTCTTCTCTGTAATAGGCTGATAAACCACCCAGTATTCTTCTCTGTAATAGGCTGATAAACCACCCAGTATTCTTCTCTGTAATAGGCTGATAAACCACCCAGTATTCTTCTCTGTAATAGGCTGATAAACCACCCAGTATTCTCTGTAATAGGCTGATAAACCACCCAGTATTCTTCTCTGTAATAGGCTGATAAACCACCCAGTATTCTTCTCTGTAATAGGCTGATAAACCACCCAGTATTCTTCTCTGTAATAGGCTGATAAACCACCCAGTATTCTTCTCTGTAATAGGCTGATAAACCACCCAGTATTCTTCTCTGTAATAGGCTGATAAACCACCCAGTATTCTTCTCTGTAATAGGCTGATAAACCCAGTGGCTGGCGACACACCTCCGCGATCAGTATACCAAAGTGTTGCACATGTCTCTTAGCGAATAATTAATGCGCAAAACGTGCTAAACTACGTTTCTCTCTCCCACACAGCGCGTGGAGTCTGACGGAGGCTGGGAATTCACCAACCGCTTCGGAGAGAAGGTTGATGTGTACAACAGCTTCGGCCAAGAGCTTGACTAGTGCAGTCTTTATCTCCTTCTGTCATTCACCTCATCTCGCCTCTATGAAGGCTGTCACCTCAATAATTTACCCCTCCCATACATCTGGATGTAAAAAAAACACAGGTTCTGTTGCTCTACAGCCCTGGCTATACAGCAGGTCTGCTGCTACACAGCCCTGGCTATGCAGCAGGTCTGCTGATACACAGCCCTGGCTATACAGCAGGTCTGCTGCTACACAGCCCTGGCTGTGCAGCAGGTCTGCTGATACACAGCCCTGGCTATGCAGCAGGTCTGCTGCTACACAGCCCTGGCTATGGAGCAGGTCTGCTGCTACACAGCCCTGGTTATGCAGCAGTTCTGCTGTGCAAATCATTAGATACCAATTGGAGTCAGAATAAGAACAGTCAATTTTGGCTGTGATAAAAACGATAAAATCTTGAATTTTGTAAGCTTTCATGTAAATATTTATTTCTACACGTCTCTCTCTCTCTCTCTCTCTCTCTCTCTCTCTCTCTCTCTCTCTCTCTAAGTCATCTCAAAACACAACCGCTCGACTCTATAGCCCATGAAGGTGTGAGCTTTTCCTTATCCTCCTGTCCTAGGTGTTCACAAGTGCTCAGTAGTGTTCACCAGTGTTCACACGTGTCCACATGTGCCCACAAGCGTTCACTAGTGTTCAGCAGTGTTCACCAGCATTCAGCAGTGTTTAGCAGCGTTCAGCAGTGTTCAGCAGCGTTCACCACGGAGGATTCAGAACTATGGCACACCTGGCATGGGAGTTTTGGCTGCCCTGTGATAACACACACGTCTACTGCTCCCTCTATCAGGGGAAATTTTGACTGAAAACTATAACTTCAGTAATTATAAACATTGATTATATGTAAATAAACATATAGACAGTATCTATAATGTTTGATTTTTCTCCTAATCATTATTATCATTATTATTATTATTATTATTATTATTATTATTATTATTATTATTATTATTATTATTATTATTATTATTGCGTTTGTTTGCCGTTATATATTATTATTATTATTATTATATTATTATTAATAGCAGTAGTAATAGTATTTTTTATCATATTCATGGAGAAACGCTAAGACCGTAGGGGAAGTAATACAGCCCTTGAGGAATTCGAAGAAATCAGGTTTGATCCAAGTAGATACCAGCTCCAGTTCCTTGGACTAAGAGCATTTCCCACAACTGTGGTTAATCTTGACCCCAGGATGCCACCCACAACAGTTAACTAACACGCAGGTACCTATTTACTGCTTGGTGAACAGAGACAGCAAGTGTAAGGTGATTAACACCCAGGTACCTACTTACTGCTTGGTGAACAGGGACAGCAGGTACAAGGCGATTAACATCCAGGTACCTACTTACTGCTTGGTGAACAGGGACAGTAGGTACAAGGCGATTAACATCCAGGTACCTACTTACTGATTGGTGAACAGGGACAGTACGTGTAGGGAAACATACCCGACATTTCACCCGTGCTGGGGATCGATCCCAGACCTCACAGTGTGGGAGCTCAGGACGCTGCCAACGAAGCCACGAGCACCAATCTCCACTAAAATTAAGCCACGATTAACATATCAATTACCATTTTCAACTACAGGACTACATTTCGAGGTTATTTAATTAGTACTAATAACTGTAATTAGTAGAGCACGAGGTAAAAAAAAAAAATTGAGGGTCTTTTAATGGTTATACTTTGATAGTTACACTAATTACATTAAACTAGTTATGTTTTCTTTATGTGAGTTTTCTCTTGTTGACATCGGCTTAACCACTGACCCGTGGCCTGGTAGGCAAGGTTTTCGCTTCACACGCTGAGGGTTCGTGGCTCGGTACTGTCTGTATGGTGGTACATTCAGTCACAGTATGTTGCAACCCCTGAATGGGTTGCAATGATTATTATGTATATATATAATTATTACCTTTTCATATAATTTTATATTGCTTATATTTACGATAATAGCTAAATCGTAAATATATTGCTTTATATTGTTATTTGACGTAGCTAAATTTTGTGAGGTAGGATGTAACATATTATGTGCTCAGTTCAAGTCTTGATTGTCTAACTACTGTAATTATCGCTTGTGGCTCATTAGACTGCTGGCTTCTCGTTGTTGCTGGGCAGCGACCCATGGAGCTATCACGTGATCGAGGTGGGGGGTGTCCTCACCTCGCCTGAAGTATTCAGTCTGGTCTAGACTCTCTTGGTGGTCGGACAGATTGTCTGTCTCATTATTCTTGTTAGTTCTGTAGAACTCTGTTCACAGAACATTGTATAGACTTAGTGATTTTCGACGTTGTACTGAGGTTGTGTGTCGCATAGACACTCTGAGTAACTCAGGTTCTGACCTAATTTGTACTGGTATCTGTGTATTATCACAGTCGGGGATTTTCTTATGCTGAACTTAGATTCAGTAGTATGGTAGTTTTGTGACTTTTGTGGAGGATCTGCAGATGGTCCCTACTTAGTGTCGTTATATTATCTCCTTGTTCCTGATTTTTTGTCGCAGTTGCTTGTTATATTGCTATTGGGCTAAGCATTCTTTTTGTTGTTCAAGCAGACTGTTCTGATTGCCAGTTGGTCAAGAAGTTAGTTTATGTGACGACTTTATCAGTCACTTGTTTAAGTCTAGTCGAGTCTTGAGACATAGCGAACTACGTAGAGCACTTATACACATACACACAAACTTACTTGTACATATTTGTAATATCTTATTAAATGTTAATGTACCAGACGGTACTTAAGAATTAGAAATGTGATATGTGCTTTCAGCACAATACTATTGTATACGAGAGAGATTAATATTATTTTGATTACTGTGATTAATTTAATTTAGTTTGATAATATGCCTCTAGACTTAATAAATTTATTAAATTTTAATTTCTCTAGTTAGTAGCCTACCAGTTGTAATCCTGAAGCACTATTGAATAATACTGAATTCTAATGGATAATTGGACAAGGATACTGACTACTTGTTACGAAAACCCAGTAACAGGCTGGATGCTAGAAGGGCAGTCCTTTCTAGTATTACCTGGAGATCTCTAAGCTTTTAGAATCGCGTTTTTTGTAACACAGTATGACTGACACTGCCCAACATTATTATAATCAAAAAAGAAGCGCTAAGCCACAAGGGCTATACAGCGCTGCAGGGTAGGGAAGGAAGCGAGGGTATTGGACACTGCCCAACAAATCTGCTCTGGAACAAAGTCTAAAACGTCTTGCTCTTCAAGGACAACTAATTGCCTTTGATCCAAATTATTATCATTATAATTCATGTTAAGCCTTTAACCCACTTGGGTTAGTCAGTACAAGACGTAGTGGAGGCTCGATACTACGTCCGTCAAGCACGAGAGAGATTCCCTATTTATACTCTGCTAGATATCTTCTAGAGGTACTGGAATCAAGTCTCTCTCTCTCTCTCTCTCTCTCTCTCTCTCTCTCTCTCTCTCTCTCTCTCTCTCTCTCTCTCTATCTCTCTCTCTCTCTCTCTCTCTCTCTCTCTCTCTCTCTCTCTCTCTCTCTCTTTCTCTCTCTCTCTTTCTCTCTCTCTCTCTCTCTCTCTCCCCCATCAACACTATGTATCTTCTCCCAGGCAATTCATAACTCAATATGAAAAAATAAGAAACATGTACAACATTTATGAAACGTTTCGCCAGCCAGTGGCTTCTTCAGTCCAATACAGAGGAGAACGGTGGAAAATCAGGAGGCAATCAGTCCCTTAACATAGAGTCAATGTGTTCAATCTATCAATTTTAAGAAATATACATTTCTCAAGACTGATGGAGTGAACACATTGACTCCAGACTGAGGGACTAATTACCTCAAACTCCTCCTGTGTTTTCACCGTTCTTCTATCGGACTGAAGAAACCCTTGTCGGATATCTAAACCACTTACATCATACCTCGTATTATCTCACCAACACCATCATAAAAATCTTTCAAATCCATGTAAATGACTAATCTATCGGACGACCCAAAAAACCAGATGACATTTGAGGACCAAGACTTAACACCCGGATGCTGCCGGAGTCAAAATAATATATATATCGTAAGCTGGTTGCGTATTTGCGACGCCACGTAACACAAATGTGATAATGGCCGCCAAACTGCGTTGTAAATCGCCTTTATTTGGTTTGGTTAATGGGAAGCGTTAAGCCCGTAGGGGTCAGACGGTACCTGGAGATATGGTATTAAATTGTTAGTAATGCTGCTATTATTATTATTATTATTATTATTATTATTATTATTATTATTATTATTAGTAGTAGTAGTAGTAGTAGTATAGTAGCAGCAGTATTACTGTTATTATTGTTATTATTGTTATTATTATTAGTAGTATTAGTACTGTTGATGTTAACATTATTATTCATTATTATTATTTATTATTATTATATTATTTATTATTATTATTATTATTATCATTATTATTATTATTATTAAACTATTTTATTAAAGCTTAAAGCATTCTGTAACATAGGATGTAGCAAGGCAGTACAGGCCAGCCTGTCAACAAGGCAACATGGAAGGCAGTACAGGCCAGCCTGTCAACAAGGCAACATGGAAGGCAGTACAGGCCAGCCTGTCAACAAGGCAACATGGAAGGCAGTACAGGCCAGCCTGTCAACAAGGCAACAAGGAAGGCAGTACAGGCCAGCCTGTCAACAAGGCAACAAGGAAGGCAGTACAGGCCAGCCTGTCAACAAGGCAACATGGAAGGCAGTACAGGCCAGCCTGTCAACAAGGCAACATGGAAGGCAGTACAGGCCAGCCTGTCAACAAGGTAACATGGAAGGCAGTACAGGCCAGCCTGTCAACAAGACAACAAGGAAGGCAGTACAGACCAGCCTGTCAACAAGGCAACAAGGAAGGCAGTACAGGCCAGCCTGTCAACAAGGCAACAAGGAAGGCAGTACAGGCCAGCCTGTCAGCAAGGCAACATGGAAGGCAGTACAGGCCAGCCTGTCAACAAGGCAACAGGAAGGCAGTACAGGCAGCCTGTCAACAAGGAAGGCAGTACAGGCCAGCCTGTCAACAAGGCAACATGGAAGGCAGTACAGGCCAGCCTGTCAACAAGGCAACATGGAAAGCAGTACAGGCCAGCCTGTCAACAAGGCAACATGGAAGGCAGTACAGGCCAGCCTGTCAACAAGGCAACAAGGAAGGCAGTACAGGCCAGCCTGTCAAGGCAACAAGGAAGGCAGTACAGGCCAACCTGTCAACAAGGCAACAAGGAAGGCAGTACAGGCCAGCCTGTCAACAAGGCAACATGGAAGGCAGTACAGGCCAGCCTGTCAACAAGGCAACATGGAAGGCAGTACAGGTCAGCCTGTCAACAAGGCAACAAGGAAGGCAGTACAAGCCAGCCTGTCAACAAGGCAACAAGGAAAGCAGTACAGGCCAGCCTGTCAACAAGGCAACAAGGAAGGCAGTACATGCCAGCCTGTCAACAAGGCAACAAGGAAGGCAGTACAGGCCAGCCTGTCAACAAGGCAACAAGGAAGGCAGTACAGGCCAGCCTGCCAACAAGGCAACAAGGAAGGCAGTACAGGCCAGCCTGTCAACAAGGCAACATGGAAGGCAGTACAGGCCAGCCTGTCAACAAGGCAACAGGAAGGCAGTACAGGCCAGCCTGTCAACAAGGCAACATGGAAGGCAGTACAGGCCAGCCTGTCAACAAGGCAACATGGAAGGCAGTACAGGCCAGCCTGTCAACAAGACAACAAGGAAGGCAGTACAGGCCAGCCTGTCAACAAGGCAACAAGGAAGGCAGTACAGGCCAGCCTGTTAACAAGGCAACAAGGAAGGCAGTACAGGCCAGCCTGTCAGCAAGGCAACATGGAAGGCAGTACAGGCCAGCCTGTCAACAAGGCAACATGG